AAAAAATGGTCTGAAGCTCAACATCAAAAAAACTAAGATCATGGCCACTGGTCCCATCACCTCCTGGCAAATAGAAGGGGAAGATATGGAGGCAGTGACAGATTTTACGTTCTTGGGCTCCATGATCACTGCAGATGGTGACAACAGCCATGAAATTAAAAGATGCCTGCTTCTTGGGAGGAAAGTGATAACAAACCTCAACAGCATCTTTAAAAACAGAGACATCACCTTGCCAACAAAAGTCCGAATAGTGAAAGCTATGGTTTTTCCAGTACTGATGTATGGAAGTAAGAGCTGGACCATAAAGAAGGCTGACGCTTTTGAATTGTGGTGCTGAAGGATGCTCTTGAGAGTCCCCTGGACTGCAAGGAGAACAAACCTGTGCATTCTGAAGGAAATCAACCCTGAGTGCTCACTGGAAGGACAGATCCTGATGCTCAGGTTCCAATACTTTGGCCATCTCATAAGAAGACTCCCTGGAAAAGACCCTGATGTTGGGAAAATGTGAAGGCAAGAGGAGAAGGGGATGACAGAGGACGAGATGGCTGGACAGTATCATCAAAGCTACCAACATGAATTTGATCCAACTCCGGGAGGCAGTGGAAGATAGGAGGGCCTGGCGTGCTCCGATCCATGGGGTCACTAAGAGTCGGACACGACTATACGACTAAACAACAACTCCCGAATCACAGCCCATTATACTACCCACTATACGATCTTGGGACTATTCTCTGGCACACCGACGATGCTCACGCTGGAGCGGGAAGGGAGCCTTAGCCAAAGGAGGGGAGCCGCCATATAAATGATGCATTAAACTTTGCTCGCTTAAGGCCACGCCACACAGGAGGGTTTTTGCTGAAGGGGGGTGGGGAAAGACCCTCCACGGGAGACGCGCCTCCGAGTCAGCTCGGAGCGGCTGCCCGCCGGAGCGCGGGTGCGCGTGCGTGCGCGTGCGCCTCGGTCTCGCGCTTTTACCTTCCACGCCAAGTCGCCGTCGAAGTCTCGGGCTCTTAGGAAGCGGACCAGGTGCGTATCGGAGAGGAGGAAGGGAAGGGTCCGGATCCTCTCCTCCTCCCTGGCTTTGCGCCGGAGCTCAGCCACGGCGGCTCTCACGGGGGGCGAGTCGTCGGGCAAGTGGCTGAGGTTTACCT